CAAATGTACATTCTTCTGATGATTACAATAAATAATAATATATTTATAATTATAATATATAACAAAATATATTATTAAATTAGTTTAATTAAATAAAAATTAAAAATTAAAAATTTAATATTATAAAATTAAAATTATAATAATTAAATATTAATAATTAAGGTTAGTTATTAAAATTAAAATTAATTAATAAATAATTAACATTATTATATTAATATTATAATTTAAATTAAAAATAAAATAAAGAAATTAATTTAATTAAATTAAAATTAAAAATAAAAAAATTAATTGTGCAATTTTTAAAAATTACATATTTTTATAGCTCAATATGTAATATAATATATATATTTAATATTATTTAATTGTTTAAAAAGTTTGTAACAATTAAAAAAAAAAAACAGAAAATTAATTTAATTTTCAACACTTTAATAACACGTTACAAACTTTCCGGGCAATTTATCAACTTTCCCTGTTTTATTTTTTTTTTATTTATTTATTGAATTTGATTGATTTAACAAATCATTAATGTATTAACGATTAAGTAATTGAATTTAATGATAGACAATAAAAAGATCTAGAAATGAAGATACATGAATAAGAATGAAAGTGTTCAAGCAATGTATATACCGACGACACGTGGTTAAAGAACGGACCTTCGGCAAACCCCATGACGTAAGGTCATCGCATATTGTAATGTCTACGGTTGCGACATAGAGTTACACACAGTTTGTGTCAGATCAAGAATCAATTTCATAAAACGAGTAAAAAAATAAATACGACACGCGGAAGGAGATCAACTTATATTTTTTTCTTTTTTTTTTTTCTTTTAATTATTTTCCTTATAATATTTATTTTATTTTATCCTTTTTATACTACGTCAGAGATCATTGCATCCAAAGAATCCCAGGGTTTCGTAACCTGTTTATTTGATATGCTTATTAATTTTTCTATTATTATTATTATTATTATTATTATTATTATTATTATTATTATTATTATTATTATTTTATGTTTACATAAATTAATTCATATTTATTTATAAGTCTGACACCCAACCCTGATGAAATCCTAAAACTATAGATAATATAATACATTATAAGATAAGAATAAAACATTTATAAATAATATATTAATTAATTTAGAAGAAAATTAAATAAAATTATAAATAATAGATAAATTGTTTCAAACATTCTATAAAATGATTATCAATGAAAATAATTAAAATATACAATATTATCAAATAAATATTACACGCATCATTAATATAAATAAACAAATATTTCTATAATAATATTAAAACAAAAAATTTTAAGTAGTCAAATCGATTAGTCAAATCTTACGACGTAAGTAATACCGATATCTTGTTATCGGTGTTCTTATTTCTGATCTTTCTCTGTATAGTATATTTACATACACAAATATATATATATATATATATATATATATGTATGTATGCATGTATGTATGTATGCATGTGTGTTGTGTGTTCCGTGAACGTAGGTCACGTATATGCAGGTTGGTTTCTTACGTGCTCTGCTACGTATATCTATATATGTATACATATATACAATACATGCATAGATAGGTAGATACATGTGTATAAATACACACGTATGTGCGTTAGACTAGATCCGGGAGTGGTGGGCGACGACGCAAGGTTAGCGAGAAATTTATTACGGATGCTACCGACGACTCGGTGTACGACGATGGCCTTAAACCGATCCCAATTTCGGAAGCTAAATTTAATATATATATATGGATATAATAATATATAGTAATAATATGGTATAATGGTAGTATATGGTAATATATGATATTTAATATATGATAACTTATAATATATAATATAACATATTATATTTATTATATTTATTATTTAATATAATTACCATATATATATAAAATTATAATATAACATATAATATTTATTATATTTAATATTTAATATTTAATATAATTACCATATATAAAATTATAATGTAATAAAATAATATAATAATAAAATTATATATATATATATATATAATAACTTATATTACAATATTATATTTTACTATATATATTATAATATGTATTAAAATATATATCATATTATATTATCATTTATATAATTCATAAAATAACTAATAAAATCATATAATAACTCTACCAACCAATTAAAATTATAAAATGAAACAGAATTATATAACAAAATAATATATGTGTATGTGAATTTATGAAGTATGAGTAAGTTATAAGTATGAAATTGGATTAGTAGATTAGATATTGATTTTCAAAGTTCAGAAACAAATAAAAACTGATAACTGTGAAGATTTTTATAGAAAGATAAGCAAACTTTTCGATTCAAATCTCAATCTCATATTTTTTCAATTGACAACTCTCCTTTTGAATTTATTACATAATATTGTTTTTATATTTCACAATGAACGTCTAATTATTTTATGAATTTATTGAAGTAAGTGTATAATACACTTTAAAGTTAATTTATACTCGTATACATACACACACACAAACACACACACACCCCCTTCTTTTTGGTTTTTTGTCTTCTTATTATTGTTTTCTCATTTTTTTACCTTGGATTTCTAACGGAATAAATATAAGTAAACTTTTAACAGAATTTCTCATCGTTTCCTCTCATCATTGGTCTTCTTCACGTTTCCATGAATTTCCAACATTTTTTTCATTACATTTTCAAAGAAAAAAATCGTATGACTTACGAAGAAATCTTCAGGATATTGATGAGTTTGTAGAAATTATTAACGTTTTACTCGTCATTCCTTTTCATTTGTATATTAGTAGTGAGTGTAAACGTATATATATGTATATGCGTGTGTATGTAAAAGAGACTTAAGAGATTTAAGAATGGTACAGGATGGACGACCCTGATGGTCCGCAGTCTTTCTACTTTCACCTGGATCTCCGTTAATGGTTGCATCCGCCAACGAGTGTGTTATGTCCTATTTATCATAATATCTTGTTCAAATTTTCGATCAATTAATTATTTCATTGTTGAATCTTCGAAAAAGTTCGAAGTTACTTTCTATTTTTTTCTTTTAATCATTTTCACATATTTTTACATCAATTTTTATCTTTTTTATCTATCATTGCTAAAGATATATACTATATAAATATAGATATATAATATATAATATATTATATATATAATATATAAAGATATATTTTTTACTCTACATATATAGTATAAATATTATAATATTAGTATATTATTATATATATTAGTATAAATATAATATATATTATATTATATAATTTTTTATTTAATATTTATCTAAATTATAACTACCAAAATATTAGTATACATATATAGTATAAATATTAGTATATTATAATATTAGTAATATTAGTATATATATTATATTATATTTATATATATATCACCCACACCCAAAAACATACACACATACACCTACACAATATTATTTACAATCTACTTGTCTATTATTTTTTTGTTTGTTTATTCTTTTTTTATAAATCCGATAATTAATGAAAATAACGATCGTAATTTGTATTGGCTATAATAATAAAGATTATTGCAATTGCAATCCTTACAAGTTGTTCTACCCACGCGTTTATGCCCCTAAAAATCTTTGCGTGCAGGTAGAAATAGTGGGAGGTGGAGGAGGAGGAGGAGGAATGGAAAGGAATTGAGGATGGGAGGGGTAGGTGACTTGCGTGGTTCCGTACTTACACATATGTATACGCATGTAACCATAAATCCGCAAGTCGTTATTTACTGGCTGCCGAGTTCTTGCAGGCAGGCAGGCAGGCAGGCAGGCAGGCAGGCAGCCAGGCATCCAGGCAGTTGTTGCTTCGCTCGAAGGAAGCTAGTATCCTCGATAAGATGAAAAGATAGTCGAGATACAAGGATGATAGTTCAACGTCAGTTCTATGCTGCCAGACTTTTGTGTAAATCCGTTCAACGGAACCTTTGATTTCTCTTATGATTTTTCCCTGTTTTCTCTCACCATTCAAATCTAATGTCTTATTGTTAAACTAGGATAAAAATAATTAATACAACTCATTTTCTTTTTTTTTTTTCTTTTCTTTTTATATTTAATATAGTAATAATCTTTAGTTAAGTTTACTTGAATGTACACTTGATTCTTTTATAAGATGAAAGTTTGAAAATATGATACACAGTTTACAAAAGGGTCTTTTCTGTATACTCTCTTGGACTAATTTAGGCTAACTTTGACAACATAAATCTATTCATTACACTGTTTTATTTCATTAGATATGAATCCAATAAATGTAATTACTTTTGCAAGATGATCGGAGTGTACCATGAATTGGATCAACATTTAAATATTCTCCTCTTATCTCTAATGAAAAATAAAATATTTTTACTATGATTCATATTGAAAATTTATCCTATTTATAATGCATATCTTGATTTGCTTTCGTTTCTGGTACCTCTTTGCTTATCAAATCAATTTGAAACAGTGTTCGCTTGAAGATGCAAAAATAGAAATTAGAAGATCAACTCGAGTCGAGTAATTTAATCGATTGATGTTTCTATCTAAAATACTTTAAAGTATCCAAGATTAAATATAAAATCGAATAAAAAAAGATTTTAAATGTAATGGAATTTCAATCTTATTCAAAAACATCAAAGAGTATAAGATCCAAATAGTACATAAGTACGATTCTATTTCTGTTTTATTCAAAAACTCAGAAACACATAAGTTCAAGTATAAAATCAATTCTATTTTTATCTTGTTCGATAGCTTTAAAATATTCATGAAGCAAAGTATTGAACTAATCTCCCATTCGAATCTCATCAGAAAATTCCGATTAAAAACAAAATTTAAGTTTGATACTGAAAATGTTGAATTATTTTAAATGCTAATTCTTCTTGACTCATTACGTATGTTTGATTAACGAAAAAAAAAGAAAGAAAGTAAAAAACAAATAGCATAATGAATGAATAATCTTCATGAGAACATATAATAACATAAGTTTTATTTATTTTTCAGAGATACGTCGATTGCACGGTGTTAAGTCGTAGCAATAATGGTGGAGACGCTGAAGATTCTTCGTACGACAGTGATTACGAAGCTGAAGATTCAACGAACGTTCATCCGCCATTGGAATCACGATTGTCGTCTTCCACGCATTCGGACGTGTCCCGTACTACTTCAGACACATTGGCCGCGGAATTTGCTGAGTATGTCACCGTTCAGGGACATACTCCAACACAAAGTCCAGGTTAACAAAAAATTTTAACGTGTATCATGATCATAATCACGAGCGTACAAAAACAACAACTATTATTATCTTTTAATCATTCATATTTAACAACATAACATGGCTAATACCAATTTATCAATTTTATTATCAACAGGATACACGGCAAGAGTAGAATTCGCTTTAAAACTTGGATACACGGAACGTTTGGTTCAAGCGGCTCTACAAAAATTAGGCCCGGATCCTGGTCAAAACGAATTACTAGCAGAATTGATCAAACTCGGTGCTAGTTGTTCACCAAAATTAAGCGAAAGTCTTGATGAAAGTGATAATCTTTTTGACGGAGAGAGCAGTAACGAAGAATTCGGTGGAAGATCTAATTTAACGACAACTACCACATGTTTGAGGCCAGTCGTGATTGATGGTAGTAACGTGGCTATGAGCCATGGTAATAAAGAAGTATTTTCATGTCGTGGTATTAAAATCTGTGTTGATTGGTTTAAAGCCAGAGGACATAGAGAGATCACTGTTTTTGTACCAAAGTGGCGTAAAGAAGCATCGAGACCTGATAATCCTATTGCCGATCAAGAAATTCTAGGTGAACTCGAAAGAGATCGATTACTCGTTTTCACTCCATCCAGGTGAGTTTATATTTATATGTCACATATTTCTTTTTTTCTTTTTTTTTTTATCCGACGAGATCGTACAAACCGCAAGCATAGAATTTTATTTGATGATGTAACTTAATATAACGTGCGTGTATAACATTTTCTTTTTATTCGTTGAATTTTTACAGATTGGTTGGTGGTAAACGTATGGTCTGTTATGACGATCGTTATATTCTTAAACTAGCTGCTGAAGAAGATGGGATAGTTGTCAGTAATGATAATTATAGAGATTTGGCACAAGAAAATCCAGAATTCCGAAGAGTCGTTGAAGAGAGGATTTTGATGTACAGTTTTGTTAATGACAGATTTATGCCTCCTGACGATCCGCTTGGTAGAAGTGGACCTACTTTAGAAAATTTCTTAAGAATTGGTCCGAAAAAAACTGATCCTGCTCCACCATGCCCTTATGCAAAGGTTAGACCAATATTAAAATCAAAAAAATGTTTTGTTTTCTTTATTATGATTAATTAATTGACGATATTATAATTGATGATTATTTTTATAGAAATGTACCTATGGAAACAAATGCAAATTTCGTCATCCAGAAAGAGGTCCTCATCCACATAAATCTGTAACGGAACGTTTAGTGGAACACGCTCAACGTCATCTTCAAGCTAGAGGTCCGAGTCTAAGTTTGCCTTTGAACTCTAGCACGCCTACTACTAATGTTACAACGCAACATCAACCCCTTTGTAAAGCAAGATCAGTTGCTGTATCATCAAATGTTTCACAATCATTATCATCCGTCCCTAAAAGTAGATCCGTTGAAAATGTCACCACAGATTTGTCGACAACTAGTCCAATTGTATATGCACAACAAATATCAGCTGTACAAAATATGCAAGGTAAAAATAACAAAATTGCTATTAAAATATTAATGAATCTCAGATATATTTCAATTAAGAATGAATAAAATTAACGGATAAATAATGTTTTATTTATGTTTCAAGGATATGTTTCTCCAGCTACTTGGGCCACGCCCAGAGTTAACAATTCTGATGGGGAACCAGTTAATATGCATAGAAAATTACAACGACAATTGACGTTAAATCCGGCATGCGATCCACGTCTTTATCAATTGCGAAGATATCAACAACACACGGCACCATCTTCAAAGCAACAACAACAACAACAACAACAGCAACCTCAACAACAACAGAAACATTCCCAGCAATCTATAATTGGTGGTCATCCAACAATTCAACATAGGCCACTTACAAGACATGCCAGCAACGAATCTCCTTATTCAGTGCCTATAAGGTATATTTTATCCTAATTAATATTTGAATATTAAATAACTTTCCAATTTCCAACTTAATTGAATTAAAAATCGAAACACTGTGTTAGAGATTGAACAAATTTTATATTTCCAATTTCATTTTTGTATAATTATATTTTGTTTCTTAATAATACAGTTGGGATCATCCTGAAGGACTTCATCAACACGTAACACGCATAGCTTCGGCACCAGATTCATATCGTGCTTGGCCTCCACGCAGTACGAATTTAGTTACACCATCACGTGTTTCTAGATTGGGTACGTCAGATCCACAATTAAATTTGCTACCATCACCGTCGTCAGTGTCAACGAATTTACACGGAGGTGTTTGGAATACACAAACCCAAGACGCTCGACGTCATTTGCATTATCACCTTGCTAATATTTTCCCCGAGGAACAGGTACAAGCAGCAATGGCCATGAATCCTCATGAAACAGATCCCCAACAAATATGTGCCACAATTTTAGCAATGTTTCCCAAAAATTAGTAAAAGTTTAACAAAAAAAAAAAACTTTGTCAATATCCAATTAAACCAAACAGGTATGGTAATATATCATTTGTACAGTAAATGGATGTGATCAATTTGACTTTAACAATAAGTTAAACTTCGATGTAACAGAATTAATCTATAAATGACAGATTTTTCTCGAATCATCGGACATAGATAACAAAATGGGATACTTTTAGAAAAAAAGTTTGTAATAATAGATGAAAGATCATAATGATCAAATCATTATAATAAATGATTTTATATTTCCATAGTTGAAAAAAGAAAAACAAACAAATATATGAATAATGAAATGAACAGAGTTAAGGATACGTATGGAAAGATTTTTCAAATAATCATACATCATTTTCAACTTCAATACTCTCCATGAGAGTAGAGAAATGGGAACATAAGCAATTTTTTTGTTTGTTTATAGAAACTTTGTTTGATATATTTTAAGTTATATTATTTTTCTTTTTTTTTTTATCCATTAGCAAATCGTCGTTTTTTATTATTCAGTAACAGACAATACATGAAATCATTCGATTGTTTTATTAGTGTAAGAAAATGTACGTTTATTTGAATAACGCAATGTTATTACACGTTTGAAATCTATTCCCAAATCTCCACTCGGTTTAAAAAAATATATTTACAAATTGAAACATTGAAATGAATTATTAATGAGAATTTATTTCAATTATACATGTTCGCATAATCGCGTTATGTTATAAATTGAAGTAACTTATATATTCCTTGTGTATTATCTGTCCACAATAAGATTAACATTTTCTTCCAACTAGTCGTTGTTGACTAGTGTTTCTTGGGTAGAGAGAATGTATCTTAAAATGAATTGATTTTAAATAACAAACGTAAAAAGGAAACATAATTCTGTTATTAAATGTATCTATTTATCATTATACAGAGTGTTTCAATATTTACTAGTCAAACTGTAGAAACATATTCTATGAGTAAAAATAAGAGAAAAAGATTATTTAAAATTCGCAGTGAGAAATATTTTATTACAAAGTTATAAACAAACGAAATTGAAATAGTATTGCATTTTTTGATTTGTATATAATTCTATAATAAAATGTTTCCAAACTAACTTGTAGAATATATTTCCACAATTTGTATAGTAAACTCTGAGACATCCTGTATATTAATATATATTAATATATGTTACCATTAAAGCGTGAAATCCATTGAATCGTTAAGTAACCAGCTAAACCATGAAATAATTATACTAATCAATTAAAGTATGAAATAAGACAAAATTACATACTTTAATAGATATAATATGAATTCATAAGTGGCAAATGGTTAAAATATACAATTGAAATTTGATCTGTAGATTAAATCCGATAGGACAGTACGATTAACAGAACATTTGTCTTCAAAATATAAAAAGAAATAAGAATGGATAATACTATAGCATTGTTGTAAAAAGGAAAGCTAACAACCCTTACTCAGAAAACTTAAAAAATTTGTATATTTTTAAAAAATTCATACATTCAAAAATATAGAACGATATATTTTTATTTTTGAACATACTGTAAAATACAGTTTCAGGAATGTCTCAAATAAATTTTTAACGAAAAATATTTATTAAAAAATAGCGAAGTTACAACAATTTTCGTACAACACGTGCATAATTGGGTGTATCACTATCACATGTTACGTTTAAAAAAAAAAAAAAAATCAGAATAAAAACAATTTAGCTTATTCATGAATAATATCGCTACAATGTAGCGTACAGATATTTCTTTTCGATCATCGATGAATTTTATGATAAGCCGAAGAAATCGGCTAAAGGTAACATATATAATTAAGAAGTTTAAAGAGATAATAGAAAGATATCTTTTTTATGATTATTTAATGAAAAATTAAAATGTTAATATATATATGTGTAAGCATATATAAATACACGAGATGAAATGTCTATTTTTTGTTAAGCAAAAATCTATTCTACAAATAAATGAATAGTAAAGGTTTATAATAAAATTAGACGCTTCACAGAGTGTATATATATGTGTGTATGTGTATGGAATAAAGTATCGCAATACCATGTATTGTTTAACACATAATTACAAGAGTTTCTGATCTTGTACGTCATCCAATAAAGAATTTTCTTAGCATTTGTCAAAGTTGCATAGAAAAGAAATTGAAACTATATCTTTATAATGTTTGCAACAGAAAATATATTGCCATGATTGATAATCATTTCAATCGAGCAAAAGAATAAGTGTTTTGATGTATTTCAACATACATTGCTATTATTATTATAATTATTTTATTATTACTATGTTAATATTATTAAAAATATATGCGTATACATATATATGTATGTATGTATATATACAGTATGCAGCAATAACTCTGTCCACTTACGTTGTCCAAAATTTGAATAGAAAAAATTGCACTATTACAAAACGAAAATTCAATGATGAAAAGAATCATTGAATTTTCATTTTTTCATGCTCTATATATATACATATATATATATGTATATAATATATGTACTATGTATAATAAATTTGTATCACTGTTATTACGGATGGACTGTGAATTAAATGTTTTTCTATTTAATGAAATATAATATATTTTTGTTCAAGTTATTAGATGCCGCTCATACAACTATAATCATCTTACTTAACAAAATAAAATAAAAATTGGTTTATAGGTAATTTTGGACAAAAGACAATAAATACATTTTTATATATTAATTATAAATGTAATTACACAAATTCATAAAACACAGACTTTTACATATACAAGAAAAAGAGGGTTTCATTTTTTGATATTTATAATAAAACATTATATGTGTGTGTATATATATACATTTATATAAGCTGACTTAAAATAAGATTTTATGAAAATAATATTTATGCATATAAATCTGAAGTTAATAGTTAACAATATTATTATTATATTTTTCAAAAAGAAAAAATATAAATCAATATAAAAGTCTAATCAAATATGCTAGGAAGTTTTTGTTTAAAATGTCCTTAGTAAAAACTCTTCTACAGAAAGAGTAAATTTGGTACGTGGAACTGGCAGTTTGTTTATTTATTAATAATCTCATTGTCTATAAAAAAAAAATGCATTTACACCGTTCAATTTTCTCGTAAGATATATATGAATAGTTAACTTTTATACAAATTATTTAAATCATTCTAACTCGCAAGACATTAATTTATTTATTTTGGAACTAACACTTTTTTTTCTTTGACTACTCAATTTGAAATATTTTAGTTGAAATAAATCTACATCTAGCGAGTTAGAATCTTTTAAATATTTTCTCTATTTTCCTAACTTAAAAATTATTACCACAATTTTAGTTCATAAGAAATAGATGATCTATCTTGAATTCTTAATTATTCTTTTCTTTAAACACACAATACTTTTATTTTAATCAACATTACAACTCTTAATAGTTCAGTTGAAAATGAATCTATGTTTTGTGAATTGGAATCATTGAAATATTTTCTCAATTTTTTAAATTTTACCTCACAAGACAGAATATATTTTAAAAAAATAATATCTTGTAAGTGTATATAGTTTTAAATTTTATTATTGGAGATATATAAATTAAAATACTTGTGAGCTAAAATTGTTTGTTTAATTGGTTTATTAATTTTGTTTCTAACTTAAAAATATCTATCCTATCTATGTATATAATTTATATAATATGTATAAATATATATACATATTAACTTCTAAACGAAGTTCTAATAATTAAATAAATAAACAAATTTCAAAGAATTCTTTCGTAAAATAAAAGGTAAGCTTGACAATTTTGTACAGTAGTTTCGTCAACTTCTGTTACCCGTGTATCAGAAACGTAATACCATTTTCCTGGTGGTGGTTCTATCGATTCAGCAATTTTGGCAGTCGCTTCATCTGAGTCAGAATTGACATCATTTAAAATCTCTTCAACATTTTTGCTATCTCTTTTAGGTAAAAATGACCACCTTGAATCATTTTCTTCTAACGGCATTCTCGTTTTCACGTATGCAACGTAATGTCCATTATCAATCGTTGTACCGTTATGTTCAACAACGCCATAGAGAGCATACATTCTTGGTTTCTTGGTATTTTTACAAACGCGAGATAAATCAAACATCATTGGAAACTCAACGCGTCTACCTACTTTTCTATAAGAAACGTTACATGCTTGAAATCGTTTTAATTGTAAAATTAAAACTGGTGGAACGGAGGATATGAGGTATTGTTTGGTATGCGATGTTCGAACCATTTTAGTAAAATTTGGTTTAACCTGAAAAAGATATAAAACAACAAGAACAATTAAATTACACATTCATAATAAAATATAAATAATATTATTGATAAATTTTGAATAAAATGAATCAAAGTATTTTACCTTTTTTTCTGCTTCGGTGCATTTTTCGCAACCTACTTCGTTGCTACCGGACATTAATTCTAACATCGTAAATTCATTTAAACAAGATTGTATAGAGTATTCATCCTTTTTTGAGTATTTGGTAGGTGAATGATGGCTATTATTAGTAATATCCAATTGCGATAAACCAGAAGTTATGTCGTTAATATCAGCATTAACTTCTCTTTCCGAATTACCATTAGTCATTTTGTTTTTATGTGAAACAGTTCGAACGTTAGAATTCGATAAAATTTGTTTATTCGTGACAGAATCATCGTCACTATTAGAAACTATCCTTTCTAATTTGTCTATGCTTGGCACATTTTGTACATCTAACAAAGAACTCGTAGGACTACCTTTGGATGCAACAGGACTGCTAATAGGAGTCGCTGTTAATTCCTGATTATTATGATTTGAATTACTATCCGAACTGTGTCTATCAGAATCTGTTGCAAGTAATGGCAATATGTCATTCATTGGTGGAAAACTTGAATCGTTTAAGGCACTGTCGTCAACAGTATTGCAATCTAGAGAATTTTCCATATTATCTATCGATCTATTATCCGGAATTTTCTCTTCAAGTTCATTCAGATTGTCAGGTGTAGTTGCTTTTTGATTGCTATTAATTTGATCATTGGTAGGGGATACAGGACTAGAAAATGTCGAGGCTTTTTCTGAACTGTATCCAGATTCTCCAACTTCTCTAAGTATACTCTCTCCTTCAACATTATCTTCTACGTCTGCATCACTCTGGTCTAATGAAACAAAAATTAGAAAACATTAGAATCAAATGATTCAAGAATAAACCTAAAATAACGTAAATGAAATTTTACCGGATTGTAACACACCGTTCTCTTCTATAACTTGAATTGGTTTCGCTAACATATCCTCGTAATACTGGTCGACGGAAATATGTCTATTTTTACGCTTTTTTCTAGCAGCTTTCTTTTCTTTTTTCTGCTGATGTTTCGACAAATTGCTAACAGGACTTGGATAACTGTTTCCTTTTATATCATAGGTTTCCTCGAATACATTATTTTTTCTTCTATAATGTAAACAAGAAAAAATGTTAAACAAGATCTATATATGTTAATTTTTTTGTTAAAGAGTTAAATAAATGTTGACTTACTTAGAAGCAGGAGGATGTGGTTTATTAGCCATGACTGGTAAACTTAAGTCTAAAAATGGTTCAATATATTGGGATGAATGTGTGCACTTCAAACATTTTAATGTCGAAACTAAAGTTCCCCTGAATATAGGTTCAGGGCCAAGTAATTTTTTATTTATTTGGCTACCATAAAATTTGACCTTAGCTTTGACGACACTATCTATAGTTTCCTGTGGTTTATTTCGTACGTCTAATTCTTTTATAATTACCGCTTGAAATCTCTATAAAATAAAACAAATCATTTAATAATATACAAATCTAATTGTTTCATAATTATACGATAAGATAGATTATTAATAAATTAACTCAACACGCACACACACACATCTATATATATATATATATATATATATATATATATTTATTTATTTATTTATAAACGTTACTTACTTTTAAATCTTCAGTACGTACTACGTCTAACAAATGTCTAAGAAATTCATGCACATCATGTTGCCCGCCGTCCATGCATTGCAAAGATTTCTTTTTCAATGCATTTATTAATTCTATTGGACTGAAAGATTGTTGGACTTTGCTATCCTGTATATTTTTCAAGATTTTGTATAGTACTGCAGTAAATTGTCCTACTTTTTCCAACTCGGATATAATAGGTGGCTATAAATATTAAATACATTTAAATGAGTATATCAATGTACATAAATTTATGTATATTATTTTTCATCTATTAACCTTTTGACTACTGTAGGCATGCCTGGTGATACGTTTCTAACTTATTTGACATAGACAAATTATAGCGTTTTATTATGATTTAACTAGTCAAAGTTATAATAACTTAATTGTGCATTTTGTAAAAGTGTTAAACTTACCAATTCTATTTCTTCTTCAGAATTAGGATTAGGTTTGAATGTTCCTCCTGGTATCACAACTTTTTCTCCTGGAGTGCATAAATTTTCCAATACATTAATCAAATATGGTGTTCGTGCTAAGCATTGGATAACAGAATTAAGAAAGCAGGTATTTCCTAAATTTTGTAGTCCCTATTTATTAAAACACAAAATGTATAAGTTATTAATATGCATTTATAGTTAATACAATTTATATAAAACATTATGTATACAGATATACAAAATGTTCCAGGGTTTACCAGCAAAACTACGAGAATATATTTTTAAAGTGGAAATAAGAGAAATATTGTTATGTGAAGTTCGATTAAAAATATTAATTAAATTATAAAGTTATAAGTAAATCAAACTAAATTCTTTTATAATATACTCACACAATTTGATTGGTAATACCCTTTATTTATATATGTATATAAACTTACTATAACTTTGGGAAAGTTATTTACTTCTATGCTTATTGTTGTGCCTTTTACATCTTTTAAATTTGGTATGCTTGATATACCGTTTTTTTTATTTATATGATTTGCTAACGTTGATTTCCTCTTAACTGCATTCTTCATTTTTAATGACTGAGGTGTTATTGGAACTTCGTACATAATTAACCTTAGGAGCTCTTGTTGGCTCCTACTAATAAAGTAAAAAAGTTTAGATAATATAATATGAAAAAAATATGAAAAGAAAAATAAATAAAGAAAGATAAACTAACAAAATTAATTTAATTAAGAAGATAGAATATATTTATAATAACTTATTATCTCGAATAAGTTCCATTGAACATTCATAGCACCAGATAGTTCAATTCTTAATACTTATGAGGCGGCCCGCGCCGAGCAGCACTGGTTATCAACGGAAACAGATGATCCAATTGAGGCCTGAATTTGAATAGGCGAGTGGCCCGCCTTAACACATTCGCGATCGCTGACATGATTCACATCTCATTTTAAATTTAAAAAATTCAATAAAAATAAATTTTATATAATAAATTTATATTTAATTATTTAAATATTATTATATTTTATTATTTATATATAAATCTAAATAATTCATTATTTTTGTTGGTACTCAGTATTAAAAAAGGAAAAAATGTGCCAGTCGCGAATATGTTAATATTTGTTATATAGAAGAAATTAATTTTTGTACTTACTAAATTATATTGTCGTGGATCCGCCTGCGCTTTGTTATATGACCACAATTTATAATTTCCATCATAAAAGATTTTAGTTATTGTTTTTAGTAATGTATCGAGACACGTAGTAGCAAAGAGTATTTATTATTTAAATACTACACGCGGTATAGACTAAA